CCAGCTCCAAGACCACCCTCGGTTCAACCCTCAAATATACTTCCCCCCCTTCTATCGATATTGCAATTCTGCCCTACGTTGTCCTCTTTAAAACGGTGACCCCGAAGGGGCTGGAGAGCGGGCAGCCAGTAAAAACACACACACGCACACACACACACACACACAGGCCAGGAAGATAATGCAAGCACAGCCTGGAAATACACACACACGCACAATCATACTTTCAGCCTGTTGCCGTTTCGTCTCCTGAGCTTACTACGCTGAGCTCTGATCCTTCGCTTTTCTGGTTCGGGCAGCAAAGCGGCTTAGGAAGTGAAGCTCTAAATACAACCCAGAGTAATGTGGGTGGAAGAGCTACTGGGGTGGGGGTAGGGCAGGAGGACTTGAGGGAGGGAGAAAGGGGGAGTCAGAGGGCCCTTGCCCTTTGAAAGAGCCGGGGGGGGGGGATCCTCCTCTCTTTGCAAGGTCAGGCCTTGCCTTGTTGGGGGCTGTACGAAGCAGATGGGCTTGACTAAATCCCTCTTCCACACATCCGAGGACCCAAGAATGCCCGGAAGCATCTCTTGAGCATGTGCAGAGAGTACAACAAAGGCTGAGGAAATACCCTTCCCTTAGAGTTACACCAGCCTGGCTGGCATTGCAAAAATGAGCCCACAAATGAGAAATTTGGACATGCAATAGTGGCGAATTTGGGCATTTTTCCCGTTAGGAAGGAAAATTCTTAAGTACTGAAGGAAGGAGCATGGTGGGAAACATCTCTTAAGCATGTGCAGAGGGCACACAAAGGCCTGGGGGAAATACCCCATCACACAGCCTGCCTGGCTGAAATTGGGAAAAACGGAGCCCTAAAGAAGGAATTTGTATATTTCAATTACAAAGGAAAACGCCCCAATGGGTAGGTCTGGGATTTAAGATTTTGATATGTTATTTATAATGATGGATTATTTCTTTTATTGATTAAGAGTGACTTCCACGGATTCTCTCTTGGGTCTTTTACAGCAATCTAAGTTGCTCTTCAGAACAAGAAAAATCCCTCTTCCTTCTCTCCCCCCCACCTCCTCAAACCCCTCTCTTGTAACACTGATGATGTTACCAAGCTGGGTCGTGAAACGTCTGCAAGAAAACAAGCTCAGAGAGCACCAATGACCCCAAAGTTTAACCCCGAGCTGTAAATATCCCCTTCCATCATTAGACATTAGACATTAGATCCATCCTGGATGGTTTATAGGACCCAATTTCATTTCATTCCGTCTATAGTGGAACCTCAGGTCATGACCGTAATCCGTTCCAGGACTTTGGTTGCAACCTGATTTGGTTGTGACCGGAAGCGAGACTGACTGTGCATGCATGCATGCATGCAAAAAAAAAAAAAAATGGCACAGAAGGGGAAATTGTCGCAGCTGTGTTTGATCGCCACCTGAGGATGGATGTGTTCACGACCAGAGTCCGAACTTTTTGCGGATTGTTTTTGGCTGGCGGCCGATTTGGCCGTGGTCAGAAGCGTTCGTGACCTGAGGTTCCACTGTATTCTGAAAACCTGCCTCGTGCTCCGATCCAGCCAAAAAAGCCAATGCAATCCTAAGTTACATTAACAGAGGGATACAATCCAGATCCAATGAGGTACTAATACCAATCTATAAAGCCTTAGTAAGGCCACACCTAGAGTACTGCATCCAGTTTTGGTCACCACACTATTAAAAAAGATGTTGAGACTCTAGAAAAAGTGCAGAGAAGAGCAACCAGGATGATGAGGGGACTGGAGACTAAAACATACGATGAACAGTTGCAGAAACTGGGCCTGGCTAGTCTAGGGAAGAGAAGAACCAGGGGAGACAGGAGAGCAGTCTTCCAATATTTGAGGGGCTGCCCCAGAGAGGAAGAGATCAAGCTATTCTCTGAAGCGCCTGTAGACCAGACAAGGAATAATGAATGGAAACTGAACAAGGAGAGATTCAACCTGGAAATGATAAATTTTCAGTGACAACAATCAACCCATGGAACAGAAGTTGCCTTCGGAAGTTGTGGGAGCTTCATCCCTGGAGGCTTTCAAGAAGAGATTGGACTGCCCTCTGTCAGAAATGGTGTAGGGTCTTTTGCTGGGGGGAGGTGGGGTTAGACTAGATGGCCTACAAGGTCCCTTCCAACTCTGATTATCCGTTACCTGATCCCAAGTCAGAACATCCGCAAAAAAGGGAGAAAACATTCCTTTTTATTGCATTCTTCTTCTTTAAAAAAAAAAAAAATCACGACATTTCCTTGTTTGTTACACTGCATAATATTTATACCACAACGAGAGAGAGGGAGAGAGAGAGAGAGAGAGAGAGAAAGAGGGAGGGAGGGAGGGAGAGAGAGAAAGAGAGAGAGAGAGAGTTTTCACTCCGGGCTGCAGACCAGGGGCAAGCCCCCAACCCCGAAACCTCTCTATATATTTTTCTGCCTCCCTTCTTCGCTCTTTTCTTGCAAAATAAAATAAAATAAACCAATTTTTAAAAACCCTACCCCCAAAACAAGCAAGCCTGTTCTCTGCCTTGCGGCTCAAATGCTACCTTTCCATGCCCCCCCCCCCCATCCTGCCCCGGTCCGTACAAAGAAGTCCTAGGCACAAGTTTTCATGCATCTGATGACTGCTTGCACCATGATTTGTGTGTGTGTGTGTGTGTGTGTGTGTGTGTGTGTGTAGAGGAGATTCATCAGAAGCCAGCCGGCCTGAGGGTGGCGGGGACTGGAAAAAGGGGAGACCCCTCTTTCTTGGCTGGATGTCTCCCACCGGCCTGGAAAACGATTTGGAAGCCCCCTCCTCCTCTTCTTCACACACCCCCCTGCGACAGAGGAAGAGGCCTGAAAAGCACCCATTGATGATATTGAATGGTTAACCTGGGAGGTTACAACGGTCAGTTTTGTCGTCGTTGGTTTCGGGTTTTTTGTTTTGCATTGGCGGTGTCTGCTTGGCCCACTCAGACGTACGCGGACTCGCTGGACTGAGTCCGCCCCAAGGTAGGCACTTGGGCCAGGGAGGAGAGGTCCTTCTTCCGCACCTCGCAGATGGATTTCCGCCTGGCCTGCACTCCCCGGATGGCCGTCTTGATCTTGCGCCAGCCCAGGTGGTTTAGCTCAGCCAGGTTGAGCAGGACGCAGATGCCGCTGACGGCAAACATGAAAACCAGGAAGACGGTCTTCTCGGTGGGGCGGGAGACGTAGCACTCCACTTCCTTAACGCACGGATAGCGGTCGCATTCGAAAATAGCCGGCACGTTGAACCCGTACAGGAAGTATTGTCCAGCCAGGAATCCGATCTCCAAGGCATTGCGAAAAACCACCTGGAGCCAGGAGAGAAGTGGTTAGAACACGTTGCCTTCATTCTACGTTTAGTATTTACGTCCGGGGAATGATTTAAAGAGCTGCTACAATGATGTAAGGCTAGGAATGAGTTGGCAAGATTTTTGGGGCAGGTATCACTTTAAGAGCCTGTAATAAGAAGAGGCTCTGCTGGGGCGTATCTTTCTCTCGTGTGTGCTTCTGTGCTATTGCTGTTTGAGGTCTGGTGTGTGTGTGTGTGTGTGTGTGTGTGTGTACTCTTTGTAGATAAAACCACTATTTTGGATGCTTGGCAGCTGACTCGCATTATGACGGTTGCAGTGGGTCCCCATGGTCACCTGATCCTCTCTTTGCAACCTTCTGACAAGCAAAGGTCAGTGAGGAAACCGGATTCACTTAACAGCTGTGTTGCTAACTTAACAACTGCGGTGGTTCGCTTAACAAACAAGGTGAGGAAATGGGGCAAAATTCACTTAATGGCTTAAATTTTGAGCTCCATTGTGGTCGTAAGTTGAGAACTACACATATTACTTGATAGGTAAGTCGAGGCAGCAAGCATTCCTCCTGCTCCTTCCTCCTATTTTCGCACAACAACCCTGTGAGGCAGGTTGGCTTGAGAGGGAGGGTCGGACCGGCCCAAAGTCACCCAGCTCATATTCATACCTAAGGTGGGACTAGAACTCCCCGTCTCCTGGTGATTGGCCCAAAGTCGCCCAGTTTTCTTTGGGACGGGCGCTTCAGAAGCCCTGCAGTTTATCCAAAGAGGCCACACAAGTTCACTTGGGTCTACAATTGTGTTCAAAATTTGTGAATGTAATTTATTTTGTACCCCACCCTGAGTCATCACAGGTTGTGTGTAAAAAGGTCAAAAGTCACATTTTTCAGCCCCGTTGTAACTTTAAACCGTCACTAAGTGAATGCTTGCAACCTGAGAACTACTTGTACGAGAGAGGCCTCCTTGCGGCCATGCTTGGCTATTCCTGGCCCTGCAGAACTTTCTCGCTGCTGCTGTTTAGTGAGATCCTGGTGCTGTTTCTCTCCCCCCGGCAGAGAAAGAGAGGAAGGTGAAAGCCACTGGAAGGAAGAGAGAGAGAGAGAGAGAAGAGAGGGAGCCTTCCCACTCTTCCGTCTATCTCTTCTGCTTAGCAGAAACCCAGAAAGCGGAATTCTGCAAGACGTTTTGCACAAGAAATGTCCGTTCGGCTCTAAAGAGAAAGGCTGATTTGTCCTTGGGGGAGGTCCAATCGAGAAACCAAAACCTTGAGTAGGAGCACTACCTGTAGTAATAGACCACTGGAAGTCTGGAAGCATTTTGCCCTTCCTTCCTTCCTTCCTTCCTTCCTTCCTTCCTTCCTTCCTTCCT